CCGTGGGTGATCAGGTGCGGCCTCCCCGGGGAAAGAGCTGGGTCTAGCCAGTGCCAGCGGCTGCATGGAGTCGCCCAGCGCCATCCTTCCGGGGCAGGATAGTGAGCGCACCAGCTCCATTGCCCCAAATTAAAAGTGGGGTCCACTCTTTCCCCGACTTCTTTACATATATCTATCTCTCTCTCCCTCTTTGAAATATATTGAGAGAGAGAAACATCCATGATGAGAGAGAATCATGGATCGGCTGCCTCCTGCAAGTCCCCCGCTGGGGATCAAGCCCACAACCCGGGCATGTGCCCTTGACGGAATCGAACCTGGGACCTTTCAGTTCACAGGTCATCGTTCTATCCACTGAGCCAAACCGGCTAGGGCCCGACTTCTAAGATCCGGTTCCCTGCGGGGACTAGGAAGGGAGAGTGGACGGCAGGGGAAGACCGCCTCTGCGCTCGCCCGGGTAGGCTCAGGCCTCGGTGCCCTTGAGCCGGCCTGAAGCCTCCCGCTGCCGGGCTGAGCGCCGGTTCTCCCAGCCCCCAGCGGCTTCCCCACATCTCCCTGCTGCCTGGGAGATTTTCCATGGAAGTCTGCCTCTCCCGGCCCGACTTTAATAAAAGCTTGGAGGAAGGGCAGGGAATTCCTCCCGGCTCAAGTTACACCTCTCCGCCAGTTCCCCACCTGCTCTTCCCTTGCTCCTCGCCTGGCCAGGGAAAGCTGCAGGGAGCCGGGTCCTGGCAGGAGGTGGAGTGGGAGCCCAGCCCATGCCCGGTCCAGCTGCGCCCCCCCTCATTCATAGGGGCAGGCGCTCAGGGGGCTTCTGCAGGTGGGGCTTGCCCCTCAGCCTGTGAGCCAGGTACCCAGTGAAGTGTCTGGACCCACGTGCCACTCTCTGGAGCAGAGAGCTAAAGGATGGCCAGTCACAGACCCGCCCTGGAGCCGTTTTTAATCCGCTAAGGCAGTGGTTCTCAACCTTCCTAATGCCGCGACCCTTTAATACAGTTCCTCATGTTGTGGTGACCCCCAATTTCATTGTTACAAGTTGAACATAATTAAAGCATAGTGATTCATCACAAAAACAATATGTAATTATAGATGTGTTTTCCGATGGTCTTAGGCGACCCCTGTGAAAGGGTCGTTCGACCCCCAAAGGGGTCTCGACCCAGGGGTTGAGAACCGCTGCACTAAGGAATGGCATGGCGGCACAGGAAGCGATTACGGACCACGCTGGAATTTGGTGGCCGTGCATGGTGAAGTGTCGTCTAGATGGCCAGGCGATGAGGTCCTGGGACCTGCGGTCTGCAGGGCTTCCTTCTCTCCTTCCTTTGCTTCTGCTCCTCTATCACCCGCTCCTCTCCCAGGGCCAGACAGGGGTCACAGACCATGGCCCTCAGCCTTCGGTGGCATTAGCTAGAGATTCTGAGAGTGACCTGCAGCCTCTGGGGGAGAATTTGGCGTTGGCTGTTGCTGGAAGAGACTGGAAGGTTTAGGGGGCCCCACGTGGAAACCGAGGTAGATGGAGGGCTAGAGACAGGGGGCTTGTCCCTGCTCCTGGGATTGGCTTTGGGGTACAGACTGTTCCTTGGAGTTGCACCAAGTTTGGCCAGATCTAGGCCCAAAGAGTTGAATGGCTTCAGCAGCCAGTGCATTTGCCAGGAGGCTTGGGGACAATTGTCCACGCTCTCCGAGACCAGCCTCTGAGACTCCTGGGCCTGGCCTGCACCCTGTGTCCACAGCCTCCCTCCCCTAGGGAAAGGCTCTGGTCCTCGCCCCAGAACCCCCACAGCTCCAGGCTTCAGGTCGGGTCATGGCTGGCGCCTTCTCTGAGCATCCTGGTAACTGAGCCAAGGCCAGCCCCTCTCCCTCCCAGGCAGGAACCACAGGAGTTTCACCAGACCGAGGAACCAGGAGTCTGGCATGTGCTAGGAGCTGGCAGGCACCTGCAACCTGCCAAGCCCCTGCCTGGAGAAGGCTGTCTTTCTTTTTTTTTTCTTTTTAAATATATTTTTATTGATTTCAGAGAGGAAGGGAGAGGGAGAGAGAGATAGAAACATCAATGATGAGAGAGGATCATTGACCGCTGCCTCCTGCACGCCCCACACTGGGGATTGAGCCCACAACCTGGGCATGTGCTCTGACCGGGAATCAAACTGTGACCTCCTGGTTCATAGGTCAGTGCTTAACCACTGAGCCACACCAGCCAGGCAAAGCTGTCTTTCTTGAAGAAGCCACCACTGAGCCCTGACCGGTTTGGCTCAGTGGATAGAGCGTCGGCCTGCGGACTGAGGGGTCCCGGGTTCGATTCCGGTCAAGGGCATGTACCTTGGTTGCGGGCATATCCCCAGTGGGAGGTGTGCAGGAGGCAGCTGATCGATGATTCTCTCTCATCGATGTTTCAAACTCTCTATCCCTCTCCCTTCCTCTCTGTAAAAAATCAATAAAATATACTTAAAAATTAAAAAAAAGAAGCCACCACTGAGTTACTCTGCCCTGTCCCACTCTCTCCCTTGCATGTCAGGTGCCAGTCTGCAGCTGTTCTGGGCTGAGCCCGACCCCCCTGCCTACATGCAGGCATCACCTGACTGAGGTAGCAGCTGTAGCTCCTGGCCTCTCGCCCCGCCCTGAGAGTCCAGGCCCCCTTTCAGATCCGTCCCACTCTTGCTGGCTATGGCACCTGGCCTGCTTACTAGTAAATGCCATTGGTTTCACCAGAGAAGCTATGGTCTCTTCCCACTGGCCCCTCCTCCCCAGGTATAATCTCAGGCCCTCAGCCAGCCCCCTACAGGTGACTCAGGCTGCCAGAGGTCACAGGTATGAGGCAGCTGCCACGAAAGCATGGGCACACTCATCTTCCCTGGACAGACTCCTTCCTGTGTACCTTTCTTGTTCCTATCTGGCTGCTGAGCAGAATGAGCAAAAGGAAGGGAGAGGGGGGATCAGCTTGAATTCTGATTTTGACCTTCAGATCCAGCTGGGGAGCCATAGCCCCAGGTTTCCTGTGCTCCGATCTCCGAGGGCACTTCCATGCTGGCCACCCCCTCCTACACTCTGATTAATACCCCTTTTTAAATAAGGAGCAGAAACTCCAGAGGCCTGGGCCGGCCCTTGAGGAAAGTGAGCCTTATCATTGGCAACCCTTCTCTTCTCCCACCCATCCCTTCTTTTCAGTCTGTTCTCTTTCTACTAACAAACCGTCCCTCCATGGTGTATCTGCAAACCCCCAGAGAACTGGGCTGTTGGGTGCCGCCAGGGGCCCAGGATCCGATTGGGCCGTGCCCCTCATGCCCAGCCCTTTGCCAGGTCCCTGCTTTGGGGCTGCTCTGGGGTCCCCTCAGTCAGCTGCCTCCTTGAAGGGTGCCCTCCTTGTTTGAACAATGCATCCGTCCGACCTGCACATTCCAACCTTTGGACAAACACCTCACCTTGCTCCACCCAAGAAGGGTGGAGAGGAAATGACATAGAAATACACCCAGAAATGACATAGAAACACCCCCCCCCCCAAGAAGCCTTCCTCCGAACCCCAGCACCCACTGCCCAAGTTCTCCGATGCCAACTCAGAAGGGCAATGCTGGCCAGAATGGAGAAGCCCCTCCCTGCTAAGTCCTGGGTTCTGGCTGCCCCCTCCATCCCCCTTTTGTTGCTGCTCCAGATGTGCCCTGCCATCGTCACCTCTGCCCAGCTGGGAGCTGGACTTCTGTGAGGCCAGCTGTGGTCAGCGGACATTAAAGTTGGTGCTATAGACTGAATGTTTCACCAATGTCCCCCCCCCCCAAAATTCACATGCTAAAACCTAACTCCCAAGGTGATGATATTAGGGCCTTTGGGAGGTGGTGAGGTGATGAATAGAGAGCCAGCATGAATGAGATTAGTGCTCTTATAAAAGCTGGCCGAGAAAGCTCCTTGCCCCGCCCACCATGTGAGAACAGTGAGCAACCAGGAAGTTTGTAACCAGGAAGAGGGCCTGCAGGGATCCTGAGCATGGACTTTAGCCTCCAGAACTGAGAAATAAATGTCTGTTGTGATAAGCTACCCAGCTTATGATATTTTTGTTGTAGCAGCCCAAGTGGACTAGGATAGTTGGCATTTTTAGTATCATCCCAAGATCTATGTGGCTCACTTGGGCCCGGAGCTGTGTTCTCCGAGTCACAGAAGCAGAGAGGGGTCAGGGGCTCTCGGTTTGGAGCCTTCTCCATCACCAAAAGGGTCCTGGGAAGACTCCCTAATGAATGTGAGGACCTGGGACCCCGAAGGTGGCTGAACACTCTAGGCCAGTGATGGCGAACCTTTTGAGCTCGGCGTGTCAGCATTTTGAAAAACCCTAACTTAACTCTGGTGCCGTGTCACATACAGAAATTATTTGATATTTGCAACCATAGTAAAACAAAGACTTCTATTTTTGATATTTATTTTATATATTTAAATGCCATTTCACAAAGAAAAATCATCCAAAAAAATGAGTTCGAGTGTCACCTCTGACACGCGTGTCATAGGTTCGCCATCACTGCGTCTAGGCCTATGGCACACAATAGGTGCCATCTGGCAAGATGAGCCCCAGAAAGACCTGGTTCCAGGATGCCTGGACCCTTTGGGGGAGGGAGCACAGAATTTGCAGCCCGGGACAAGAACAGCAGAGGTGTTTGAGACAAGGAGAGATGCCTCGGGCCCGATCCCATTCCCCATGTGGGGACAGCAGGAAACAAGACATTCAACCTCCAGCATCTGGACTGACAGGTGAGGCCTGGGTCCCAGCCATGAGCCAGCCTTGGTGGACGCCCCCATCCCTTTGCCACCTGATGGCTGAGCTACCGGAGCCATGGCGCCTGGAGGCCAGAGTCCAGATCAGCTCTCCAAGCTGGTCCTTGGCTCCGGACACCACCCTGTCCTTCTCCCAGGAGCGACTGCACCCTCGAGGGTGAGAGCCCAGCTTGCTGTCCAACACTTGTGGGCATGGCCCCTGGCACATAGGAAGTGCTTGCAGAATGGTGGCAGAGCAGTGACCGTGAGGAGCAAACAGCATTGGCTACTGAGCAAGTCGTTGAACCCATCCGAGCCTCAGTTTCCCTATCTCCAGAATGAGAATAGTGAGCGCATCTCCTGGGGGGAGTCAGTGGGGAGAGTCCGTGCGTTAACGTGTAAAATGCTGACCAATCGCCATGCGCCGTGGCCTCACCTGGACCCAGCAGGCTCCCATGCTTTTTTGAGCACCTTCAACACATTTGGTTCTGTCCTGCTGGGCCCCAGCCAGGTGGGAAGGAGATGGTGGAGGTGGGGCTGGCTGAACCTGGAGCCCTCCCCCTCTCCTGTGTGGCCACCCAGGCTCTGCCCTGTGGACATCCCCATCTAGGAGATTAACACCTATGAGGGTTTCCAGGTGAGGCCCGGGCCTGACCACCCCCCCCCCCCCAACAGAAACCACTAGCAAACAGGCCTCTTTCACCCCACCCTGCCCACCCACTGGCCCGAGGACCCTGCTGTTTCTTGCTCCGGGTTAAGGAAAGCCCCGCAGGCTGGGAGGCCACAAGGTAAGGAAGAGGCAGGAACACAGGCCGCCAGCCTCCTTCCTGCTTCTCTGGCTGCACAGCCCCGCGCCCCCTCAGAGCCCCTTCCTCCACCCGCAGCTTTCCCTTCTCGAAGGGCAGTTCTAGAATTGCTCGAGTATGGACCGTGCTGCTTCTAAAGGTAGTAGATCACCCGCCGAGGACGGGGTGCCTCCTTTCCTCAGCGGCCTTGGGGCTGGTTAGGTCACCTGTGCTGTCACCCCTGTGCGGCCGAAGCAGTCCGGACCAAGGAGTAGATGTCACGGGCAGGTTTCTGCTCTGCCTGAGGAAGGGCTAACCGTCAAGGCTGCCCGAAGATGGGACGGGCCACCTTGGTGGCAGTGAGCCCCCCATCTTTTCAGGGGAACAGGCCTGATGGGACCCTGGCCCCGTGGTGGCCCATGGAGGTTTCCGTGAAGTAGTTGGACTTGATGGCTTTGAGGTTCCTTCCAGCCTGAGACTGGGGGAGCCTAGGCCTGCTCAGGGTCACCTCGCTGGTCACATGGGGGCCTGGCTCAGACCCCCCAGCGGGCCTGGGGTGCACGCCCTGCCTCTGCAGTGTCTGACTCCCCCAGGCTCATCTTCCCGCTCTGTGCCGGCATGGCCTTGGCTTGCTCCCAAGAGCCCTCAGACTGCGACACGGGGTGGGGAGGAGCCCAGCAAGGACCAAGCGCCCTGAAGGGTCTGTGCGTCCCCGGCTGGCCCAACGAGATGCCTTTGTGCCTGTCTGGGCAGCCCCGCCAGGGTGACACCCCACGGAGAGCCGTGGGTGACAGAAGCAAAGCAGAGCCCTGCGGACTGACCTTATCGCACACACAGGTTCTGATAAGGCCGGTGGGAGGAGCTGGCTGTGGTGACAGCCGCAGCCCTCGCCCCCTGCCCCCACGGCTGTGCTTAATGCACAGTATTGATCGATCTGGAAGCTCCTTCCCAGACACACCCTCCCTGCGGGCCTGCCTTGGCATTGTCTCTGCAGCCCTGGGGGGCAGCCCAGCTGACAGGGCCCAGTGCCCAGACCCCGCCAGAGCTGGGGAGCGTGGGGAGGATCAGACGCCCTCCCCCAGGGCTGTGCTGGGCACTGTTCCTGGGAAGGACCGGAGCCCGGTGTCCCCAGCCTCCGGCCAAGCGGAGCTGGTGCTGCTTCGCAAGCAGCCTGGTCCAGTCGTTCTGCTTGTGGGCTCGAGCTCGAGCCAGATCAGCTGTGCCACCCTGGGTGGGCCACGCACCCTCTCTGAACCTCACTCACCGTTTGTATAACGGGAATGGGGTTCTTGTGAGCACTGACCGGATGGCCAGCCCACAGCAGTCTCGGCCCTGGCCTGCTGCATGTATGGCTTCTCCTAGGGCCAGGGGGCCAGGGATCCCCTCTCAGACACCTGATGGCCCCACATCTCCTTGCCTGGGCCCAGCCACTCACCTCAAGCATCTGTGCACACATGTGGAGCTCAGAAAGAAATGGCTGAAGGAACCAGGGTGGGCGGGGTCTTTAGGATGGGCTGCAGGTAGGAGGGGCCTCATGGCTCCAGAGTTCGCTTTAGAACCTTCCCTGCCTCCCATTGAGTGACCCCCGTGGAGGTCCCTCTATTCTGCTGCTTACTGACCTCCCCAAGCCTCAGTTTCCCCAGCTGAGAAACCAAGTTCCACCTGCTTGGCCCTCCACCTGTGAGACTGGGTGCCCTACTGGTGCGGTTCAGTGGTTGAACGTCGACCTATGACCCAGAAGGTCATGGCTTGATTCCCAGTGGGGGGAGTGCTGTGGTTCTCTCTCATCATTGATGTTTCTGTCTCTCTCTTCCTCTCCCTTCCTCTCTGAACTCAATAAAAATATATATTTTTTAAAAAGGCCTCCCCCATCCCATGCCCTGTGCTGGGCTCTGAGCTCCTCCCTGCAGACAGGCCCAACACGCTCCCCTCCCCCAGCCCAGGGCCCCAGCCTGAGCCTCCCCCTCCCTGCCCTCCTGTCACTCCGCAGACACCGCTAATCAGCCCGGGGTGCCTGTGATTGAGCTCCGGAGATATTTTTACCTTATGCAAATAAGTGATGTCAGGTGCCCTCGCTGTCGGCAGCAGCCCCACCTCCAGCTGATCCGTTTCCCTGCGGAGCTGAGCATCATGGCCTCACCTTCTAGATCTCTCCAAGCTTCTTCGGGGAAAATCGTCCATTAAGGGTGGCGGGTGTCCCCCTAGACACACACCCAGGAACTTTGGGAGCAGTTTCCTGTGATTGGAAAGAGCAGAAGCTGAGAGAAGGTGCCCTGGGCCACACGGCTGGGCTGGGCTGGCAGGGGAGGCCACCTACCTCCCCCAGCTACCCCGCCCTCAGCAGCCCTCAGGCCCTGCTGGAGCCTGGAACCTTCAGCCCTGTTGGTAGAAGCAAAAACCTGCCCCTCCAGGGACAGCCAGACAGCCCCCGGCCTCTGTCATTAATGGCACGTTTATTGAGCAAGTTCCCCTGTCCAACAGTGCAAGCGCTAGTGTCCCCACTTAGTCCTCACAGAAACCCAAGATGTGAGGCAAGTCCTCGGATAACAGAGCCACACCTCGACGAGGCTTGGCTGGATATGTTCCCAGCCCTGTCTGTCCCCAGAGCCATGGCTGTTTCTCATCTGCCCCCCAGCTCTGCCTCCTGGTTCTGTGGCTGTTTCCCGGGCCTGAGAAGCCTGGTGGTTCTGACCGTGTCCCTGCGCTGCCCTCCTGGGCCCAGCAGCGCTCCCTCCAGCGGCAGTCTGGGTGCTGCTGAGCCAGGGGTGTGGCCGGATCCCGGGGCTGGGCAGAGGGTGGCACTGAGGGAGCAAGCCCCCAAGGAGCTGGCTGTGACACTGGTGGCAGACAGATGGGGGCGTGGCCCTGGCCAGCTGACACCTGGCTGTCAGCCCAGAGCAGCCACCATGTTCGGTCATCATCCTGCCTTGTGGGCGCACAGCAGGCCTTCAGGTTCCGTCACTCTGGGGTGGGGGGGGGGGCACCCAGAGACCCAGGGTGGCCCAGGAAAGGTGCAAAGGACACCTTTCCATGTGGCCAAGGCCCACAGAAGTCCCTGGCCTCTGTGCCCCAGCCTCCCACGGTGGTCATCGTGCACTCGTGGCCATGGGGCCATGAGGTGGGCAGGCCAGAGTCCCCTTTCTCACTACAGCTTGGCCAGGCTCATCAGGGATCCCATTCTCCTGCCATCCTAGTGGAGGAGACAAGTGGTAAACACCTAAGTGACATATGCGGTGTGTCAGATGGTGACAAGTGCAAGAAAGGAGGAGAGGGGGTGCAGGGTACAGCAGGTGGGGGTCTTTTTTAGTGTTGTCAGAGAACACCCTCCAGTCAGGTGAGGCTGAAACGGAGACCTGAAGCACATGGGGTGGGAGCCGTGCAGACATCTGGGAGACCAGACCTGATTTGTAAAGGGCTTTTGATTGGGCGCTCGTGTGAAAATAGACCCAAGGGCCCTGGCCGGTGTGGCTCGGTCGGTTGAGTGTCGTCCCATGCCCAAAAGATTGCCAGTTTGATTCCCAGGCAGAGCACATGTCCAGGTTTCAGGTTCAGTCCTGCCCCAGTCAATGTTTCTCTATCTCTCTCCCTCTACCTTCTTGTGTCTCTCAAATTCAATAAAAACATTTTTTTTTTTAAGAGAGGATAAAAACCAGCACAGGAGGCGAAAGCAGGGAGGTGGTGGCGGCTCTGGGCGGTGGTGGTGGGGGATCTGATGCAGGCTGTATCTCCAGAGCAGGCCATGCTGACCACCGTGGTCTCTCCTTTGCAGAACTGGCTGCGACTCTACGGCTACCTGCCTCAGCCCAGCCGCCACATGTCCACCATGCGCTCGGCCCAGATCCTGGCCTCAGCCCTCTCCGAAATGCAGCGCTTCTACGGGATCCCTGTCACCGGCGTGCTTGACGAGGAGACCAAGACGTGAGTCCCTCTGTCGGGCCCTTCCCAGACGCCCCTGGCCCCTGCCCTCCTCCTGGCCTGCTCTCGGGAGGTCTTGGCACACGGAGTTACCAGAAAAGCCTGGTCTCGATAAGAGACGACAAATAGTTTGATCCTCTGTGCTAGCTCTGATTGGTTGGGAGTGGCTGCCTGAAGCCTTGTGTTGAGAAAGCTCCTGAGGCCGAATCCCAGCTTGGCCGCAAGGAGCACAGGATAAATTAGTGATGTCTGCCATCACTGATAGGAGTGGAGGGGCTCGGTAGCATACATGCCTGGGATGGGACAGCATCGTTCGGCTTTGCTCTGAATGGGACAGAGGGGAAGTGACCCAAAGCCCCATCCTTGATGAGCACGCACAGAACGTAACGGACCCAGGACAGGAGGCCTCATTCCTGGGTGATTCTCTGAGAAGGGGCCCACCTTTGCGGAGGCCTCACTGGGCATCCAGGCTTCCAGGACAAGATCATTGTACCTGTTTTCCTGGTGAGGGAACTGAAGCTTAGCTGGTCTCCCACCACACCCTAAGCGGCAGCTGAAGGCCAGAGGTGGGAGGGTGGAAGGCGGTGGGCTGCCTGGAGAAGGCTGTGTGCTCACCCCTCCCCGCCCGCGAGCCAGGTGGATGAAGCGGCCCCGCTGTGGCGTGCCGGATCAGTTCGGGGTGCATGTGAAAGCCAATCTGCGGCGGCGGAAGCGCTATGCCCTCACCGGCAGGAAGTGGAACAACCCCCACCTGACCTTCAGGTAGGGACCCCAGCTCCCCAGGGCGGCGTCCCTGCCAGGGCATTTCCCCATCACCTGGTCTGAGGTTCAGGCTTCCCAGTGGACTTGTCTGGAAGGTTTCCTTTCTCAGCAGCCCCCCCGCCCCCCAGGGTGCCCAGTATAGACAGTCTAAACCCACTCTGGCTCCCACGCTAACCATGGCTGCACACCCCAGGCTGTCTTCCTCCTGAGAAGGTCAGGACCCTTGGAGTGGCTTCCGCTCTCTCCTCCTTCCCTCCCCCGGCCTTCCCCTCCCTTCCCCCCCACCAGCTGCCTGGCTTGGCCTCACTGCACCGGCACACACTGAGGGCCTCCACAGTGCGGGGATGGGGTGTCAGGCACCTGAGGGTGGGGGAGGAGAGGGGGCCGGAATCCAGGCATCTGCTGGGTGGGCAGGCAGGCAGCAAGTCACCTGCAAAAACCCTCAGGCACCCTCCTCCTTTGCGCTGAGTCCTCGGGCAAGAAACGCCTTGTGGCGGTCCCCAAGGGCCCCTCTTCCTGTGTCTGTCCAGCCACAGCCCCACCAGAGCTCCGTCGCCCGAGGAGGAGTAGCTCCCACGGCCTCCGAGACCCCAGGCCCCCAGTGAATTCATGGTCCAGCACACAGACGCTTCCTCTGATTTAACGAGTTCATTCATTTCACCCTCCCGGGGACACCATGATGAAAGCACTAACCTTTACCCGTTTTACAGACAAGAAAACTCAAGTTCAGAGAGATAACTCACTTGCCCAAAGTCACACAGAAAATGGCCTTGAACTCAGGTCAGCCTGACCTGGAACCCAACATTCCGAACCGAGAGCCCGTGTTCCCCAAACCTCAGGCATTTGCATTGCTCTTTTTGGGTCTTTCAGCTACATATCCCCTGTACATTCACCTACTTAACGTTTTCTTCCAGAAAATGGGCATATTTGGCACCATGCAGCCTTATGTGGGAATATCCTAATGAATTCCTGGTTTTGACATGTCTCTTTTTCAAATCCACCTCCAAGCAAACTAATGGTTGAAATTTCAGGCATTGTTGTTAAATCGGTTCAGATCTTTTCTTTTTTTGGAGACAGAGAGAAACATCAATCGGTTACCTCCCACACATACACTGACCAAGCCTCAAACCCACATCTCGGGCATGCGCCCTGACCAGGAGTCAAACCAGCAACCCTGCAGTGCATGGGACAATGCTCAACCAACTGAGTCACACCGGCCGGGGCCCAGCTCAGATCTTACGCACGTTCCTTGAGACCATGGGTCCTGGCCTCCAATCCAGTGGGTGCCAGCAGTGGGCAGGAGCCCCAGGCCCTGGGTTCACGGGCCTGTCTCCCCGCCCACCTGCAGCATCCAGAACTACACGGAGAAGCTGGGCTGGTACCACTCGCTGGAGGCGGTGCGCAGGGCCTTCCGAGTGTGGGAGCAGGCCACGCCCCTGGTCTTCCAGGAGGTGCCCTACCAGGACATCAGGCTGCGGAGACAGAAGGAGGCCGACATCATGGTCCTCTTTGCCTCCGGCTTCCATGGCGACAGCTCACCCTTCGATGGCACAGGCGGCTTTCTGGCCCACGCCTACTTCCCGGGCCCTGGTCTGGGCGGGGACACCCATTTCGACGCAGATGAGCCCTGGACCTTCTCTAGCACCGACATGCATGGTGAGAACAGCTGGCCAGGCGAGGGCAAGGGAGGCAGAGCTGGGAACGCAGGGGTGGGAGGGGAGAGCACTGACATTTGGTCTCAAGCTGTTGTCCCACCATCTTCGAGGGGTGGGAGGGAAGAGAAGGGATCATTGTACCCATTGCTCAGATGGGGAAGGTGGAGGCCCAGAAGTCAGAGCAGCTCAGCCTCTTCTAAGAGTGGAACAAGGGCAGGCTCCCTGGCAGCCTCAGCCCACAGTCCAGGGGGCCAGGTCCTGGGCCAGGCCAGAGCTGACCGTGCTGCTGTCCCACCTCAGGGAACAGTCTCTTCCTGGTGGCAGTGCACGAGCTGGGCCACGCGCTGGGGCTGGAGCACTCCAGCAACCCCAGCGCCATCATGGCGCCGTTCTACCAGTGGATGGACATCGACAACTTCCAGCTGCCCGAGGACGACCTCCGGGGCATCCAGCAGCTCTACGGTGGGTGAGCGAGCGGCAGGGACACGCTGGTGGCCTCTGCACGCCTACCCTCAACCCAGCCCCACCAGGCACCGGTGCTACTGCTGTCCCATTTTATAGACGAGAAACTGAGGCCCAGAGAGGATTAGTGACTTGTCCATTTCACTCAGATGGTGCTAGAAATCAAACCCAGAGCCTACACCCAGAGCCCAACAGTGGCTCCTGCTGGAGCCTGCGGGGGGTGGAGGTTGGGGGGTGGTTCCATCTCTGACCCCCTCTCCTCCTAGCCTCAGTGATATTCTTATTGACCAGAGGTTCCAGGACCCCATTCCTCCTACTGTCGCTCCCAGCCCAAACCTGCCCTGGACTCTCTGCTAATATTGTCGGTTTATCACTTCCCAGTGCCCTCAGGCAGGAGGCACCCCGCACCCACCCCCCACCCAGGCCCCAGCGGTGAGGGCTCCTGAGGGCCAGTTTGCTGGGTCAGGGCCTGCGCTCCGTGCCCATGCCAGGCACCTTCCTGGTACCGGCAGTGCCCACCTTGCTGGGCACATGGCAGACATGCCTCGCTGTATCCCTAGCAACCTGGTAATCAGATGGCACTTGGCAGGGGCTGCAGAACCATGTTCCTGCCCCTGTGTGTGTCCCGCGAGCCTCCAGTGGGGAGGTCGACGAGGGGGCTCTATGGAGAAGGATGGGGATCCTCCTGAGGATGGGGGTGCGGGGAGGGGGTCTGTGTGGACAGACAGGGCCTTTCACAGGGATGGGCCCTTCACCTGGGGCACAGGTTTTTCAGGCAGGGCCTGGGGTCCCGGGGTTCTGAGGAGGACAAGGCTGGGTTCTGGGGCCTCCTCCTCACTTCTTTTTTTTTTTAAATATATTTTTATTGATTTCAGAGAGGAAGGGAGCGGGAGAGAGAAACATCAATGACAAGAGAGAATCACTGATTGGCTGCCTCCTACATGCCTCCTACTAGGGATCAAGCCCGAAACCCAGGCACGTGCCCTGCCCGGAAATCGAACCATGACCTCCTGGTTCATAGGTCGATGCTCAACCACTGAGCCACACCAGCCAGGCAGCTTCCTCACTTCTTGTTCCCCCTCCCTGGACTCTACAGGCACCCCAGACGGTCGGCCACAGCCCACCCGGCCCCTCCCCACTGTGACACCCCGGCGGCCAGGCCGGCCAGACCATCGGCCCCCCAGGCCCCCCCAGCCTCCACCCCCAGACGGGAAGCCGGAGCGGCCCCCAAGGCCAGGCCCCCCAGTCCAGCCCCGAGCCACGGAGAGGCCTGACCAGTATGGCCCCAACATCTGCGACGGGGACTTTGACACGGTGGCCATGCTGCGT